TTGTGTTTTATATTTTATGGCAAATTATTTGGTCCAGCTCCATTCATATTTCTGTATGAATAAGTTGTCAAATGGATGATACCACCATTTCCTACCCAACCAGCTAAAGTTCTATCTCCCAAATTTCTATCAGTTGATGGTGTGGTAATCTAAACTCTAAATAGATTGTGCCAAGCTTATTACGGTGTTGGTTATGACCATTTGAACCAACCAGAGAAAGCATATTCCTTAGGGAAAACTGTATCAACTGTTGTTTTAGTTGGATCTGAATTAGATTATCTTTCAATTTAGGAATCAATAATTCTTGTAGTTGAAAGAGGCACCTTTCCTCCTTTTAATGGATTTGGTTTATCAGCAAAGAATTTTTTATGACTTTCAACAGAATCAATAAATGCTCCTACTGATGTTGAGTAAACAACTTAAGTAAATTATCCATTGAATCCTGGATATCTATTTTAATCTTTTCCACCCAAGATAAATTTAAGGTATTTCAAATCAGGGTGTTTGACTGGGAATTCAGCTGAAACAGGTTCTAAATCACCAAATCGAATAATTGCAACAGCTTTTCCTGTATTGGAGTATGAGAAATAGAAATGTGTCCAAAGACCTTCAATATCAGCTGGATAATTTATGTTTCTTATCACATTTGGATTAGCTGGTTAAACATTATTGGTTGTGAAGTGATAATATCCTTATCCTTACCAGATTGCCAAGATTCTGTCTCCCATTCTTATATTGTCATAATTTTCATGTTATGTCAATCTAGCCATAAAATACCATGGAGCATTTTTACCATTTGGTAACTTAACTGGATAAGCTGTCAAGAATCTTGCCCAGAATCCATAACCATATTCAGTGAATGGAACTTCAGATCTAAATTCTTTGATTACTTTTGGAGCGTTTTCGTTGTGTGCATTAGGTAATTATTATTCTCCAGTTTCATCTGTAATTGGTTAAGGTTTCTTTTATTCAGGTTTTTTGAGTAAAGTTGATTCTCCTTTATTAAATCCAAAAATATCATTTGGATGTTTGAAATCTGGTGTCTTTCTAAATGTTCCACTTCCCAAAACAAAGTTAACATATCCAATTTTACCATTAAATCCTGGGAATTGCTTGTCTTTACCAATAAATGTATAGAAATAAGGAGTGTAATAATGATTGACATTATTATATTCAATTGTCTCAATGCCTCCTGTGAATTTAACCCCAACAAATCCTTTTCTTTCATTTTTAGAGTATCCAAAATAAACAAAGAACCATTCTAAATGTCTATTCTTGTGTATAATGTTGCTGACCATATTTGGATTTCCAGCTCCATTCATATTAGTATATGTATAAGTTGGGAAATGGAAAATACCTCCTTAAGCTGTACCAATCCAGAATGAAAGAGTTCTATCTCCTAAAAATCTATCTGTGGAGGGTTTGTTGATTTGAACTCTGAAAACATTGTGCCAAACTTATTATTAAGTTTATTCCCATTTAAACCAACCACTAATTGCATATTCATGTGGGAATTTTTAAGCTCCTCCTCCTAATTCATCATAAATTGGGTTGTCATTAACTTTTCTTTAGATAGTATCTTCAACTAATTCGTGTTTATATAATTTATCCAAATCATGTAATGGTATGATTGTTCTGGAAATATGATCATTGAAATCATCTAAGGTATCTAGAAAAGCACCTTCTTTGGCAGAGAAAACTATTTGACTGAATAAACCATTGAATCCTGGGTATCTATTGCTGTCTTTTCCACCTAAGATGAATCTAACTTATTTGGTTGTTGGGTGATTAACATTGTGAATGATTTATCTTGGTTCTAAGTTACCATACTTAATAAATGCAATAGCCTTATTCTCTTCGGCACTATAGGAATAGTAAATATAGGTCCAAACTCCTTCAATATCATTGGGATAATTGATATTTTGGATGACATTTGGATTGTTAGATTTCTTATCACAAGTTGTGAAATGGTAATATCCTTATCCTAACCAAATAGCCAAAGTTCTATCTCCCATAGCAATATTTCCATAATTTTAATTGGATGTCAATCTGGAGACAAAATACCAGGGAGCATTCTTTCCATTAAGTAATCTAACTGGATAAGCTGTTAAGAATCTAGCCCAGAAGCCATAACCATATTCTACTAAATCTTCTTCAGATTCTTTGCTTTCATCAACTTTTGGTTTATTATCATCAGTAGAGGTCGCTGTAGTAACACCATCATCGTCATCATCATCATCTTTTTCTTTAACTTTATCATCTGGTTGTTTGCCTAATAATTACTTTTATCCAACAACAAAATTGAAAGCATCATTCTTAGCTTTAAAATCATTTCCTGGTCTAAATGCCCCTTCTCCAATATTAAAAGCAACTAAAGCAAGGTCTCCACTAAATCCTGGGAAATGTTTATCTTTTCCGACAAAGATGTAATATTTAGGAACAGTGAAATGTTTAACATTTTCATATTCTTAATGATCCTCTGAATCTGTCCATTTAATGTAAGCTTTTGCTTTTTATTATGGTCTTGAGTATCCAAAATAAACAAAGAACCATTAAGTATGTCTATTTTTATGAGGAATATTTTTGAAAAGATTTGCATTTCCATTTCCTTCAAGGTCTGTCAAGGTGTAAGTAGGTAAATGAATAATTCCTCCATCTGATTTACCAACCCAACCTGATAAGGTTCTATCTCCTAAGAATTTGTCAGTTGATGGAGTTTAAATTTAAACTCTAAAGATATTATGCCAATCTTATTATTTATCAGTTGGTGTCCATTTGAACCAACCACTGATTCCATACTCATGTGGGAATTTAGAAGTTGAAGAAGTTCCAACTATTTAGTGAATTTCTTTGTCTTCTGGTTTTCTTGAGATTGGATTTGTTGTAACTTTATAAGTGACTATATCAGGAATAAAGTCTTTTGGAATCTTTTTCATTGATTATAATTTTGCTTAAATATCCTCATCATTATCAATGAAAGCACCTTTCTTTGCACTAAAATAGATAGCACTCAATAAACCATTGAATCCTGGATATCTCTTGTCATCTGTTCCTCCTACAGTAAATCTTACAAATTTAGTTGTTGGATGAGTCACTTCATGCTCAACTTTCTTAAAATCATTTTCTCCGAATTTAATATAAGCAACTGCTTTTTTCTTTTCAGAACTATATGAATAGTAAATGTATGTCCAAACACCATCTAAATTCTCTGGATAATCTACATTCTTAACAACATTTGGTTAATTTTAAGGTTTATCACAAGTTGTGAAATGATAGAATCCTTTTCCTAACCATATTGCTAATAGTCTATCTCCCATATTAACATTATCTGTATTTTTATTTGCAGACAATCTTGAAACAAAGTACCAAGGAGCATCTTTACCTTTTGGCATGAATTTTGGATAAGCCAACATAAATCTTGCCCAATAACCATATCCATATTCTACTAAATCTTCAGATCCTTCTTCGTCACCATTATCTACTTCAGTTGTTCTAACAGGTTTATCATTTGTATAATCTGATGGCTATTTCTTGTTCACTGTGTCTTCATCATCTTCAGAGTCTGAAGAACTTACTAATGCTGAGGCACTAATAGGTTCCTCTTCAGATTCTGGTGCACTTTTATCTCCAGGTCTAATTATGACTTTGTCTTATTCATCTGTGTTTACAATTATTCCATCCTTGGAACAAGATTCTACTCTTCTTTACACATCCTCAGATTTTGAATTTATAATATTAATTGTAATCTAAATGAATTATTTAAATTTATTACTGATGGCTTTTGGCATTACTCTCTTATTTATTGTCTCTCACTCAATAGCTTATTTATTAACTCCTCAATTTTATCGCAACATTAATCTGCATCTTCTTTTGATGAGGCAGCATCTAATAAATTTAATTAACCATCTAAAATATCTTGACCATATTGTCGCCATTATTGCAATAAGGTATCTCTTTCCTCTTACCTTAATTGAATAAATGCAAAAGAACCCTTTGTACTGTGATATTGCAACAATGCTAAAATATTTTAAATATTTGTACTTGTCTTCTATCCTTCTGATTTTCTATAATCTGCCACAGCAACTTTTAGTTTTTGCAAATTATCAATATCATTATCTATCTAATCAGGATTAGAAAGAATCTCCTGCCAAGCTTCCATTGATTTACTCACTTATTCTAGGCCTGGAGAACAATCTAGACTACCTGTATCTAAATTATTTAACTCTTCAAGCGATTGTAATTTAATTCCGCTTTAAAGTTCAACAAACTGTTACGCTAAAACATCATATTAGCCACTTTTACCTTGTAGCGAACATATCAAAAACAATAGCAATATTAATGAAGATTTCTTCATAATAATGTAAAATAATAAATGAATTCTAATATGTGAACAATATATATAAGAATAGGGATTATTATCCGTTTTTTTATGAATTGAGTTCTCATTTTAATTATTAATTTAAACCGACAAGTTCTTATTAAACTCTTCTCAACTCATCGTAATACGTAATTAAGTCAAAGAAACTTTAACTCATATTATAATAAAAAATAAACAAACATCTCTATCAATTAAATTTGAAGCATGAGATAAGATTAGTAAGTTAATAAATAATTATCAAATTTATCAATTTACCATATTAATATTATTATCTAATATACTTCAAAATTGAATTGTATAATTTAATTCTCAAATTTTATATTAAAACCTTTAAATCCCCTAAAAAAACTTCTCAATTTAATAAATTCTAATTTAGAACAACAAATTCTTTTGAAGCAATCCATAAGTTTGGTTTTTCGTTTAGTTATGCTACATTAAATGTTAAATGTAGTTTTTCATTTTAAAATCAAGTATATATATTAGTTAATTTTAGAATTATTAATAATGAAATCCTTTATTCGATTTTATTCTAATAATAAAGTTAAAATCAATTGGAAAATTATCATATTTTGCTTTTAATAGGTGAAGGCTCTTTTGGATAAGTTTATAAGGGAAGACTGAAAAAGAGTAATTAGATCGCTGCTCTCAAATTTATTAGCAAGATAGGAAAGTTAGAAAAATGATTTGGTAAATTTGAGATTGGAAATTAAAATATTCAAGAGATTGAAGAATGAAAATATCATTTTAAATAGATGCATTCGAAATAGCAGGTGAATTTTGTTTAGTAACAGAAGTAATCTTTTTTGATAGAATATTTTTTAGTTTTGAAAAGGGGTATTATTTGAAATTTTGGAGGATGATCGTAAAATAGCAGAGGGTGAAGTTAGAAACATTGCTTAATAATTAGAAAGGGCATTACATTACTTATATTCAAACAAAATTATTCATAAAGATATGAAACCATAAAACTTATTAATTTCTGTTGATGGAGTAGTTAAATTATAAGATTTTGGTTTTGCCAGAGCTACGTCACCAAACTTTCAAGTTCTTCATTCAATCAAAGGAACTCTTCTTGATATGGCACCAAAATTAATTTAAGAATAGACATAATATCAAATAGTTGATTTATGTTCTTTCGGAGTTATTCTTTCTGAGCTAATTTTTGGTTAACCTCCAATTAACACAAATCAAATATTTTCTCTAATTCAGCTCATTATCAAAGTTCCAGTAAAATAACCAGGATAACATGAGTCCAGAATTAATGAGTTTTTTGAAAGGGCTACTTAATAAGACAACTTCAGATAGGTTTGGTTGGTAAGATTTATTGAGTAATCCCATAATAGCAAAGACTGATTAAAAAAAGGTGTAGAAAGAATGAAAAGATTAAAGTAATCTAAATTTCAACTTAAGTTTTAATGTATAGATTCATCCAATAAATGAAGAAATACTTAATTTACACTGTAAAAATGGTTATTCTTACAAGGTGTACAATTTCAATGAAGCTTTACTACAAAAATTAAATTATTATTAAATTAATTTTTCATAAGTAATTAGCATTTTGAGAACGACATTCAAAATAATCCAATAGTTTCCTTATTAGCAATTTAATTAATAGCTGAATTACTC